AAATTAGCATACTGAAACATTTGCTAATTTCTGTGCATTTAGAGGATCCTAAAATTAACTGTTTTCTTAAAGCTAGACTATCGTTATTTACCAGGCAGGTTTTATTTTGTTTTTCTCCAATTAATTGTACTTACTATACTGAATTGAATTGAATTTATTTTCCACTAAGCTGTTGGATACACTGTAAATCAAATCTAAGACGCTAATTTTTTTAAGTAGCTGCTGTCAGCATCAGAATTAACCCTTGACTTAGGGGGAAAAAAAAAAAAAATCACATGTAGAAAATCCTGTTTAGCATCATGAAGGGGTACTGCTATCTGCCACTTTACTGAGATGCTGCTATGCAGCGCTGCTGTGTTCACTTGTTTTTTGGGATGTGCCTGAGAGCTCAAGTGCTTGTACAAAATAGGGATGTCTGTGCTGCTGAAGACACTTACGTACGTTATATATTTATTTGTGGTAATTGCTATTTGCCTGTCAGTGTTTTTGGCCACATTGAGGTTGTCATCAATGCAGAAAAATAGGGAAAGTAAAAGCCAGCATGATGTGTAGACCTTGACTCTGTTCATACGTTAGTATTACAAATAGGATTTTCCTTTCGTGTCACAGCCTAGTTGCTCAGTGCCCAGGATTGCCCTGCTATGCATTCTTCTCCCTCCCCTCTGAGATAGGATGGTGAATGTTACAGCCGACAGCTCATTGTTAGGAGGTATTAAATATTACAAGTTACACAGTAGTCATTATCAGTGAAACAGGTTCCATCAGCTTATGAGAGCTAGGAGCAGCCTAGTCTAATGCGAGCATCTCTGTGTGATCTGCTCTGGAGAATGAACAGAATTATGCCATAGGGAATGCTATGTGGGATCCTGTTTTGTCCCATTGTGCCATTAGAGTGGAAACTTGTCACTTTGCATTTTAAAAAGAAATCTTAGAAAAAGAATTACTGAAGCACTCCCTTTTGAAATGGGAGAGAAGTGTGAAGGAATGCAAACAGGAAAGGCTTGTTGGGATAGCACTACTATCTAGAAATTGGCTGTAAAGCATGAGATGAGGAGAATAAGTTGGCATTTGGGTCAATGGCAGGCTTACTGTTACGCATTTCTGCAGCAGCCTGGTAATGCATCTAAGAGCTGCTCACCTTCCTCTGCTCTGGATGTGTGATAAAAAGTCAAGCAAATATACTTGACACCGTCTCTTTCCTGGTCTTACTCCTTCCTGAAATGTCAGTTTTCTGATAGTGATTTATTCATTCATGTAGTCCTTTAATTATTTGGGTGAATCTGGTTAAACCACTTTTTCGTAATATGCATGCAGGCTGCTTCCCCTTGAAGCAGGTTTTTTGTTTGGTAGGCCCATGTAAAGTCCACAGTCTGCCAGGGCCAAATGGAGTATCACTAGGTGAATTTCTAAAGTTACTTCTGTGGCTCTTCCTGGGCTTCTTGGAGTCCCTTTTGAGGTAAACAGTCTTGCAGAAAGGTCGGTATTGAATCAGCAAAGAAAGAATTTTCCAAGAAATGAAGTGGAGCTGTAGATGATCATCACTGGGGGAAGGTATGATGCTTGATGGGAAGGAAGAAGAAGCAAACTGGTTAGTAAGACTGGTTAGTCCATCTAGGTAGTTAACCTCAAAGGCACACAAATATTATTTGTTGTTATTAGTTATAAAACTGTAGCTGCTACTTTCATTTTGATGTTATAATATAACAGATGAAGCTATCCCTAAAGGGACCCGTTGTCTGCTTTATTCGTGTTAATGGTAGTCGTTGTATATGTCGTCTTACAGAGCGAGGGCTCGGTAATCTGTTCTGTTACACCATATGCTAATACAGTGCTGATAAGCAAGTGTGAAAAATGAAAGGGAGGAATACATTAATTGTATTTGTGCAATAAGGTATGCTATCAAAGGTAATTATTTCATGACAGTTTTAGTTATAGCAGTTGTTTTATCATGGAATAAAAGATGGCTTTAGGAGCCTTTTATTGGAAAGACAATTGTATCAAATTAGTACCAAATTAGATTTTTGTCTTTATAAAGGTGAGCAAACCCATGAGCAGTTTTTAAATTGGTGTCTTCTACTCTACAAATGAACAAATCCTGTTTGAGGGTTAAAGAAGCTATTATTCTGTCCTTTATGCTGACAGCTTCATTACTGATTGGCCTACTGTTGGTATTAAAAAAATGTTTGGCTCCTTATGATCTTTGTGCATGCAACTATAATATTAATACAGACCACGGAACTGTTCATTAAGAAATGACTTTAAATGAGGTTGATGCTTGTAAATCTGGAGAGATACAGATGTTAAATGCTGCCATTCCTTTTCATATACAGCCGGATGGCTAATAATTTCCAAGTGGCTAAAGCTCTTGTTAGCAAGCGTGCTGGTGTGTTAAGAATGGCCCTATAAATAACTTTAAGAACTGAAGTTGAAGGTGCTTCTTTTAAAGACTATTGTTAACTAAACATTATTGCCAAACAGATGGAAAGCATTCACTAGCCTGATGTTTTTAGGTCTAATTATATTATCGCCAGTCCTGTACGGCTCAGTTGAAGAGGTGTATCCAGAGGCCAATTTATAATCATTTAGCCAACACCTGTTTGGGAGATATTGACAGTCAAAGGGCACATTTAAAAAAAAAATCACATATGTTCTCGTATTTATTGCCTCAATGTGAACAGTGTCTAGTTACAAACAAACTTGGGAGAGGAAGAAGGAAAGTGACTGTAAACACATAGTTGTTTCCGAACCATTTTTATCTTCTCTTGGCACCTCTTATAAAGTGGCTTTTATTTTTCTCTTGTTCTTTTGATTTTCTTTATTGTTTGTTTGTTTGGGTGTTTTTTTAAATTTAATTTTACACTTTTTGGTTAAGCAAGGATAACAAAACCAGTTTTAGAGTTGTTATTTATTCAGTTGGTTTCCACTGTTTCTGGAAGCCCCAGGTAAGAGGCCTGAAAAGTTGTTCGGCAAACTCAGTGGCCTGGGGACATTTGCCTTTTCTTACCATGCCCTTGACATGGAAACTGTGTGTCATTCCTTTGTCAAAAAATCTCAGTAACACCGACTTCTGTTGATGTTTTTTTTTGCCAGAAGATATAGAACAGCTTTTAAAATTGGGTGCAACCCTAGTAAAAGAGGGGGTCTTTGAGATGGAGAGGTGTTTGTCACTTTATTTCTTTTAGTGAAATTTGGTGAGAGAGAAATGATTAGATAAGACTCCAGTTCTCCTCCTCTTGCTTGAGACGCTCAGGGGTGCGATGGGGAGAGTCGGAGAGCACTTTTTTGAATGCGGCCATCCCAAAGAGCAAAGGTTGCTTTGCTGTAGCTGCTGCTTGGGAGAAGCCAGCACAACCCTGCGCTGAGACCTCCCTCCTGGCCCAGCCGACTGGGCCTTTTGCACATCTCCACCTCACCTCGCTGTGGGCACTGCATGGGACGGCTGTTTCTGCAGTTCCCTTGGCGTGGTGAAAGTCAGCATGTCAACCTGGTAGACTTCACCCTTTCAGAGATAGCAGGGCATGACTACGTCACTGCCCCACACAGCAGGGAGATAAGGGAATCTGTGTGCTGTGTTGTCCTTCTCCTGCCACCTGATGAATCCAACACCATGTTCCTCCTGACATGTCATTCCTCTGCAAGAAGTCTTTTTTAGTGTGAGCTGACTTGGTCTTCACTGCGTCTTGTCTGTTGACTTGGAGTTGCTGCATCTTGTCTATTGAACTCAGTTTGGTAACGCCAGTGCTGGCATTTGCAGCCCTTTAGGTGTTTGATTTTGCAGCCTAAATATTTTGGTATAACTGTATGTGAATATTTGTACTGGAAGTTTGCAATGTCTATTGTAAATAAACAGTGAGTGCACCCTCTTGTTCTTGTTCCTAGAGGAGGGTTGGGCTTGTGCTGCTTGTGTGGCTGTCTTGCAGCTGGTGCTTTTCAAGTACATCTGTGTTCTTGAAGTTTGAAAACGATTCATTCCTCAGCAGGGTGATTTGAACTCAGAGATGCGGAGGGTTCCAGCTCCCTAAAGATGCAGTTTCCCAAATATATACACACATATATATTTTTCTTTGTTTTGTTTTCAACACATAAATAAATGGACCTTGCTAAGAGGGTAGTTGTTATTTAGTACTTCTCTCACTTCTGTGCTGTGTTCAAAGTGCTTTCAGTAGAGGTGATGCGCTCCTAACAGAGATGCTCTCTGCAGCTGTAGGTGTTCTCCCCTCTGCGGAGAACCCATCCACTCTTTGCTCACTAAATAAATCCTCTTGTTTTTGTTGTTACCTTAATACTAGTTTACAGTAGCACAAAGGGACTTCCTTGCAGCCATTTCTGTTGTGGCTTATGAGTGCTGCAAAACAAAAAGGCAGTGGAGGAATGAGGCAGCAGTGACTATACAGTTGATAAAACTTTTTTTTTTTTGTGGCCTGGGCATGTGTGTGGCCAGCTTTTAGTTTAGCTTCCTGGAAAGCAGGTATGTAGCCACCCCACAAAAAAAAACCCCGCAAAAAACCCCTCTGGTAACGCACTGGTAGGCAACACATTTGGTGTATAGGAAGCCTGATGGGGAAAAGCATTGCACTGGGAAGATAGGTACAGTGAGGATTAAGTGAAGTGACATAGGAAGGTAATGCTATATAAAGGTTACTTTTTGTGCTTCATTGTGTTGCTACCATTGCATTTCTATAAATTGGGTTCTGCTAGATTATTGCTGTAATTATAAAGTACTAGTTATTTCTGTTACCAAGTTAAGATTCATCCTTTAAGTTAGCTGATTGGGAATCAGGTGGCATTCTGGTCATTCTCTAGAGATCTATATCCTCAATCACATTTCTTTCCTAAAAAAAGACTGGTTATCAAATGCATGCTGCAGGGCTTTAATTTTTTTTTAATCATTACTTTATATCACTTCCATTGTAACAATATTCAACATTAGATTTAAGAACTGTGTGTTGTTAACTTACTTATGTGAATCTTAAATATTTATCTGAATATTTTTTGCTTAGGTTTTGCTTGTAATGGACACTAGAACACAGCAGACTTTTATACTGAAGGTGAGTAAAGTCTCTCTAAACAGTTTGGCCTCTTAAATTACACCACCACACAAAGATCAATTTGCATCTAATATATAGAGTTATCTCTGCAATATATTGTTATGTTAATACATATATCCCTATTAAGCACACTGGAATTCTTTTTGTTGGTATTCAGTTGCTTTCCCTTCTTTTCTCTGTAATGGCTCTAGTTTACTCACTTGAGTTGCCACCGGTTATTGAGGCCAACATCTTAGCAGGCTTCACTAAAGAATCACAGTTTCAGTGTGCTGCTTAAAACATCTGTAAAGCCCTAGGGGCTCAGGACATGCGCAGGCTGCCGATGAAGGTGAAAATTCTCCTTAGCCCAAGTACATCCACAACACTTTGTGTTTGGTCTTCCCTTAGCAGAATAATATGATACTGGCCAAAGTGGATTCTGGATGAAATGGACAACTGGTCTTATTCAAAATTGCTTTCCTATGTTTTACATCAATAGGCTGTGAAAACTGAGTTTAGTGTTACTAAACATTTGAATTAACGAATAGTTAATTGGTCAGAATAAAATTTTTCACATTACTCTCTTGTGTTTCAGAATGCTCAGATCAAGATCCCAATATGCTTGGAGCATCTGTGATGCTGAGAATTAGTTTAGTATGAGTATTGCTATTGTGGCCGTAATTTCAGGCTCCCCTTGACGTGAATTCCACTGCTGATGGGAGGAAGAGCTGAAAAACCATGTCCCAAACATGGAGCTCTAATTAGTTGTTAACATTTTGTGACTTCGCTTCAGGTCTGGCTTATAACCCTGCCTTAACTTTGTGCATCTCGCCTTTGAAATTGTTTGTCTTAAGTATATGCAGGGTACAGAAAACCTGTTTGTTCCTCAGAAAGGATTATTTGTGAATATTGTATATTAGAACCTCACTTTATCAACTGGCAGATAGGGTAACATTGAATTTCCCATTTAACTGCTTATGTTTATCAATATTGTAATAGGTCACACTATTGACATAATTTTTTTTCCCTCTTTCTCTCTCTTCTCCCTTTTTCCCTCTCACATCAATTTTTTCACTTCTGGCAACTTCCTCTCTGTGCTACCTCCCCAGAAATCATTACCTCTCAAGGAGACTAATCCTTTCCTTTCCTTTTTGTTGTGGTGGTTGTTGTCTTTAGTAAAGTACAATGGAAATGTGAGGATTACCTGTAAGGCTAAGGCATTCTTTTGTCTTTAGAACTTGAATTGAATTTTTCTTTAATAGTGTCTTTTGGTCACACACAAAAATAAAATTTTAAAAAAAGGTCACAGGGAAATAACTGAGTGTCATCCTGATGACTTAGTTTGAGAGAGATTCTAATAAAAACATTGACCCATGTAATTGATTTTAATGGCAGCTTTGTGCCATCTTCTGTTCTCTGGAAATGCGCCAGATGCCATCAGCACAGCCTCGGGGGACTGAGGGGCATAGAGCAGCAGATGAGTGGTTTCTCTGAAGCCCAGAGTAACTCGGATAGATTAGTTTGGTTGATAAACACAGAGCACAGCAGGCTCCAAAGGCAACTGAGGGTACAACTGACCTTTTTGTTCTCTGTCAGGGTCTAAGGAAAAGTAGTGAGTACAGCAGGAGCAGAACGACCATCATCCCCCGCTGTGTGCCCAACATGGTGTGTCTGCACAAGTACATCATCTCCGAGGAGTCTGTCTTTCTCGTGTTACAGCATGCAGAAGGTTTGTCTCTCGTTTAAGTATATTGCTGAAAAGAGTCAAAGGTTTAAGTTTTAATCAATGGTACATTTCATTGTCAAATTAATCTCTTATACATCTAATTAAAATATTTTTAGTGTGCCTAAGAGGTGTCTTGTAAGACACCCCACTCTCATCCTCCGTCCCTCTCCCTTTTCCCTCCCTCATCCTGCGGTGGATCTGATTCCTGTTTCAAATGGCCTCAAATCCTGATGGGTTACTTGAATTGTAGCAATATTGAAAGCTTCCAACTGTTTATTTTCTACAAGAGAGTGAGTGCTTTGACTGCAACAACTATCTGCAGTTTTTACAGTCATCTCTCGGAGATAAAGTCTTTGGCTACTTTTGTAAACTTTGGCAAGTAAATCTTTTTAGCATCTTATAGTTAAAATGACAACTATTCATACAAGAATTTAGTAAATCTCTGATAAAAACCATGAACATTTGCCTGTTGATTAATATTGCATAGTTATTCTGATCTGGATTTTTAAGAAAATAGCTAGTGGCATCATACAGGAGTTCAAAGCAGAACCACGGAGTTGTGCCTTCAAACCATTTATAAAATTCCTGTTAAATGTACAGGGAACAGGTGGCACAAAATAATTACATTTTGATTTTTTTGGTCTAACACCTGGATTTAAATATTCCCTAAATGTAATTACCCATATTTGTTTAGAATGAGTGCAGAATATAAATGTTGGGATTGCTAATAGTCCTCTTTTTAGGAAATGTTAATAATTCAGTCAGAATGGATGATGTGAAGGAACTAAGCTAACTGCTAGAGAAGATAATTTTATTACATTGAATATTATTTCTTTTTTTTCTAGTAACTTAGATTTTGGCTTTTTCATGAACAATATGTCGCATAAGGCCAGTTAAAGTTAACTTTACAACATGAATGACTGTTTCTGCTATGTGTGACTTACTCTTGCCGTGAGCAGTGATGCATGAAGAAAGGCTTCACATTACAGTATACTGCCTGATGGTGATCTTGAGGGTTTACAGATCTTTGCTCTGTACAATGCTACTTTTCTTGAGGTGTGTGTAATTCAGCTGAATGGAGACTCTCACCTGAACTGTGATCTCCATATAAGCTAGTACGTTTTTTTTTGAGAAATAATATTTAAAAAAAACCCCAAAACAAAAAAAACCCACAACCCAACCTTGTCAGATACCAGCTGTCCTTAAGCCTATGATAATCAAAGGATTAGAGATAGGATAAAATAATAGTTTAAAAAAAAAGGTTCCTAGTATTTCTGCAATTTCTGAAGACTTACAGTTTTGCTCTTCTCCTCAGGAAAAACGTTCTTTCTCAAGACAGATGGAAAACTGGGTGAAGAAGTAGTGGAATTTGGGGGGAGTAGTGGTCAGATGGAGAGAACAAAAATTTTAAGGAAGGCTTAACGTGACCAGCTGACAAAGATGATCTCCTGGAAGTGATAATTTTATTGTGACAACAGTCAGAAAAATGGAGACGTTGTGTGATCAGAGCTCTTGCATTTAAGAACAGAAACCTTAGCTTAACATTTGGGATGGATGGGGTGTTGTCCTGAAAAAGGAATGACTCTCTCCTGGTCATCTTTGACATAGTCACAAATCCAGTGAAATGTGCTTGGCCTGAATGTCTTGCTCTTACCAACATTGGCTGTAACATGTTTTGAGTTCTATGGAGGAAGGATTTTTAATTTACTGAGTGCCTTCTAAATCAGGTTTGTGAAACACACAGCCTTGTGCAGCACCCCACACCATTTGTTTGATCTGCCAACAGTGGAGGTGGTGTCTGTCAAACATCCTCATTTTGGCTGGCCAGGCAGTGAACACATACTTGGAGGCAGTGTTGTGGTTTAACCCCAGCTGGCAACTAAGCACCACACAGCCGCTCGCACACTCTCCCCGGTGGTATGGGGGAGAGAATCAGAAGAGTAAAAGTGAGAAAACTCGTGAGTTGAGATAAAGATAGTTTAATAGGTAAAGCAAAAGCCGTGCACACAAGCAAAGCAAAACAAGGAATTCATTCACTCCTTCCCATCGGCAGGCGGGGGGGTTTTGCCGGGAAAGCAGGGCTCCATCACGCGTAACGGTTACTTGGGAAGACAAACGCCATCACTGTGAACATCCCCCCCTTCCTCCTTCTTCCGCCAGCTTTATATGCTGAGCATGACGTCATATGGTATGGAATATCCCTTTGGTCAGTTGGAGTCAGCTGTCCCAGCTGCGTCCCCTCCCAGCTTCTTGTGCACCCCCAGCCTGCTCGCTGGTGGGGTGGGGTGAGAGACAGAAAAGGCCTTGACTCTGTGGAAGCACTGCTCAGCAGTAACTAAAAGGTCCCTGTATTATCAACACTGTTTCCAGCACAAATCCAAAACATAGCCCCATACTTAGCTACTATGAAGAAAATCAACTCTATCCCAGCCAAAACCAGCACAGGCAGCCACATGTTGTCTTTCTCCCAGCTGTGGGTCTAACGCATGCAAGTAGGAGACATGGGAGGGAGATGGGTCATTTTGAGGTGGAGTTGGGAGAGGAGATGCAGACGAGATGAGTGCTTTCTACAAGGAGAGCTCTGAAGAGGAACAGGGGGTAGGGAGCGTGGGAAGAAATGGGGAGCATTGCAGAGAGGATGGAGGACTGGCAGGCTGTGCTGGGGAGGAAGGGGAGAGCTGCAGGGACCAGGAGGGATTTTGATGTGGGTGAGGGCTGTTGGTAATACACGATACATGGGTTCACTTGACTTGGACACTTGTGGGTGTAAGTTATAAACTGCGTAAGGTTTTCCCTCATTTTCTGATAAAGCAGCAAGTAGTTTGGAAATGGATTCATCTCTATCTTTGTTTGCAAACCATTCAAAAATTATGATGAGCTATAAGGACTTTTCCCTGATTTTCAGGGAATTAACAAAATTAATTTCTTTAAGGATAGTCTCCTGCTTTCATGAACTTATTGACAGGGCTCAGAACAGGCAAAGGGAGAGGAAAAGGAGTGATATATTCTGTTCTAAAGAGGGATAGCTGGGGTACAAAGTCATGAGTAAATTGCCTGAGAATGCATACAAAAGGTGTAGGGCTTGATCCCAAATACCTAATCGGGGTGATAATTTTTTGTTGCCTCTAGAACTGCATGGCCTCTGCACATCACCCTGTCCCAGGAGACTGATGCTGGAAAGTGATTCAGGAGAAAGGCTTCATTTTCAAGCTTTGGAATCCCTATCGATAGAGCTGTCTTAAAATTTCATCCATCTCAGACCAAATATAAATAGTGAAGGTACTTGTAGTTTATTTTGGGAAAGGATAGAAATTTCTAGGACAATGCTTTTTAAGTGATAGTCTCTGAAATTTTATTCCATAACTTCATGAATGATCTTAACATTCATACTCCAAGTAGTTCTTTTCCAATAGGAAAGAAGATAGTGCCAGTCAAATTTAGAGGTATATTACTTTGTGATGATTTATTATGTTAGGTATGTTAGCTGCACCATTGGAAAGTTCAAGAGTAAAATATTAATTTTAGCAAATTCAGAGGAGGTTTTAATGTACAGACATTATGTATTTGCTAAGCAGCTTTCCTGTTCATAGTAAATTTTAGCTATATTATTATGTGCAGCACTACTGGGTTTTGTATGGAATTCTGAAAGCTTGATCCCAGACTCTTGCTCAAGATGAAGACTTTTTCTTTTTTTTTTTTTTTTTTTTTTTTTTTTTTTTAAATCATGATGCCATTGCATGCTCAGAATTGGTGAGTGAGGTCTTGGGTTCTCTTACAGTCTTTTCTCATGGCCACAGTTGGAGGCTTCAAGGGTGTCTCAGAAGCACGAAAGTCCATAAAGTTATCTTGTAGCTTTGTTGGAAAGCACTTGGCAAATTCTAGTGTGGTAGAGAGCCAATCTGATGTTAATAAGGCCTCGCTTCTTCTTGGCAGTACTAACTCCAGAAATTTTAGAAACAGATGCTTCAAAAATAGGCTGGGGGGCTTCCATGGGACATCAAAGTTTAAGTGGCTGTTAGAAGCTGTCAAATCTCTTTAATCATAAACAAGCTGGAGTTCCTCTCAATCTGGAGAGCACTCAAGAAACTTCATGCTGAAGAGGCTTGCCGCACGCAGGAATTGATAGACAGCAAGGTGGTAGCATTCTGGCTTGCAAAGCTGAGGATTTGTCGTTAGGAAAGGAGATAGTGCTAGCTGTAAAGATTTGACAGCGATCGGAAAATGCAGGAAAGGTGATACGGTCCTTGGCAAGTGACTTTTTCAGGAGGCTGCTTTGAAGTAATAGCTTTTGCTCAAAGTGCACTGGGAAGTGGGAGCTTTGCCTAAACTAGCAAACTTTGTAGCAGAGGTTCACCAGCAGCAGTGGAAGCAGCTGTGTATATAAGACTCTGGTGTTTGTAACTACTGTCATGTTAGAGATTAGGTTGGAGATTAGCTTCCAATTCATGTGTACGCTGCAACCCCACTGTGGCTGCCATTGGGATGCCGTGAAACATTATTGTTGTATCATGGTAGTACCTACATGTCTGGTTCCCTTTTGGCCTAGAAACTGTACAAGCAGAATTTTATGTAGTCATTGTATATTAACATGATGAAGTTTACCAGTAGACATGTCTTTATTGAAGAGGAGGACAGTGATTCTAAGAAAAGCACAAGACTGTTCTTTTTCCAGCAAGGAAGAATATTAATTTGCATGAGGTGCATGACTTATGATTGGTACTCCTGGCCATAAACAAATTCTTATGCAGTGATGTACAGAGTTAGGCCCGGTTTTGGAGAATAATTTAAACAGATGTCTTTCAGTTTTTCTTCCCTATCCGATCACAATTATTTGGAAGCCTGGATTATTCACTTTGACTTTGTTTGGGATTTCCTAAATACAATGATTGCTGCATTCTTAGCTGTATTCCAGTTCTGCAGGAATTGGAGTATATCATCCTTCAGAGTAAACTCATGGGCCAAGCTAGCAAAAGCCATTGATTTATTTTGGAATATGTCTCCTTAGTCAGCCAGTCTTTCAGGATGTGAAGCTGAAATGTTAAGTGTCTGAGCACCGGGTGAGGAAAAATCCAACAGGTCATAAATTTTTCTTGTCAGCTAGAACAAAAACATGTTTAGGAGACTAAATTTGCTGATCTGTTAGGTTTCATTTTATCCTATGATACGTACTGTATAGTCTCTGTAATCTTCTTCTCTTTGATCTTCCTGCGTCAAGTGCTATTAATAACAAAAAACTGCAGAAATGTTTGAAAGAATATAAAAATATTATGGAACTAAAAAGATTCCTAGCCAGCTTCATCACTTGGTCACTTTATGCTGAAATTTCCTGTTGATTATTTTGGACACTAACTTTTTAGATTCTGCCTCTCAAAGCAGAGGTATAACCTCCAGAGTGCTGGAAATGTGGTTAAGTAAGGCAATTCTAATAAGTAATTTTACATTGAATAACTGCAGAAGAATGTAGAGCATGGTGATTTTTGTGTGCTAATAAAACCAGAAAGAGTGAACTAGGCTGGTTGTAGAGTCAGTTCATGGTAGAAGAAAATAATCTTAATAATTAGTTATGTTAATACTGTACTTCTGAAACACTAATAAACTTTAGCTTAAAACGGTAGCTTTTATAATTATTTAGTATGTTAGACTATTTGACAATGACTGAAGCTTACTTGTTTGGATTGATTTCTGTAATTTTAGTTTTTATAGATTCCTGATACTATATTAGCATGGCTTGCTAATGGGTTTTCTTGATCTTACACAACACATGGGGAGAGGGGGAAAGATTATTAGTATGTCATTCATAAAGGCGTAATTATATACCCAGATACAAATATCACTCTTGTTTGACCCCAAATTGGACATTTTCAGAAAGGAATAAAATTGTTGTTTTTCACTATAGAACACAATTATTGAATAGCATTTATTTACGTATTTCCACTTGACCAGGAGGCCAGTCTTGAAATATTTGTATGTAAACATATTTGGACATAATAAATTTTTTTTTGTATTTACTTGCATTTAACTCTAAATTGGAGTTGCAGTAAGTAGTCATTTCCACTGTGATTTCTAAGTCCAAGTGATTATTAATGAGCAACTTCTTTTTTAAAAAGGTAAGATAATATATTTACAAATAGAGAATGAGTCATTGTTGCAGTTCTGTCAGTTTTCACAGGTGGACAGTGGTGAACTCCTGAATACTGTAAGGGTAAAGAGATTTTTTTGTCTTTTGCAAATTCTGGGTTTGCTGAAAGCATTTGAAATTGAACATTTTTAAAAACATAGTCCGAACCTCTTGACTCTTCCAGTGATTCTCCTGTGGGGTTTTGAAGGGTTGATCTCAACACATCTATTTTCCTTCCTTAATCCTTGGGTCATCTTCTTAAGCAACGCTCAGACTTTGAGTAGAGGCCAAAATCTAGTGGAGGCTGCAAGAAATCTTGCATGAAGTGAGGTGGAGGGAGCCGAAGACAGGAGTTGTCCTGAAAGCAGTTTGACCTGTCTATAGGTGAAAAGCTAAGTTGTGTGAGGATAATTCTTGCACTTTTCATACTGCCAGGCAGCCCAGCCCCTTCCTACCTTAATATAGGGGTATGAAACATTTATGTCAGTGAGAGCTGTTCAGGTGTCACACGTAAAAGCACACCTGGTGTCCAGTAATGACACAGGAGAAAAACGTGACAATAGATCAATAAGGTTTTGAGCTTTCAGCTCAACCCAGGCCTCCATTAGAAAGACCTTTTCTTACTACTTGCATCTGAGGAAAGACTGATGGTGCTAACATTTGCATTAAAGCTGTGCCTGGAGGCTGAGGTTCTGTTGTGCCAGGCACTGTCCAAAATGTAAAGTGGGTCTTCGTGGATCATGTTCTGTGAATACCCTTTGAAACCTGAGATTTGTGTTTTAATAAGAAATTTGTGAAGCACAAATAATAAACACTAGTAATATGAAGACGGAAAAATTTAGCATTTGCTTGTACTAATTAGTATAATGCAGGTGGGATGGGCAGACTTTGTGTTTTATTAAATGCTACAGGGGCGTGGTTGTCAAATGAGATTTTATTGTTTGGTATGAAATGACCCTGAATAATTCCATGCCTTGTTAATAAACTGGGCAAAGTTGTTTTGCAAGCACTGTTTACTTAAAGTAATTTAATTGAAATTTTTAAGAAAATTAATTGTTATAAAAATATTGCTCCATCAGAATCTTGGGGTAAAATTAAACTTTTGTGTTGCTTCTTTTGTCATGGATGAAAGTGTGGAAAAGAGAAGAAAGTCTTTCACACATATATAAAAATACGTGTGTTCTCACTTGCTCTCTTTCTCGTTCTCTTTTCTGTTGTTTTCTCTCCTTGCCATTCCATAGCAAACGCATGAATAAATGTAAAAGTGTAATATTAGAAAAAGAATTATTGATGATTATGGAATGATCAACTTTTGTTTTTACCAAATCAGTTTAAAACCAGTAATTCTGAAGTCCTATGCAAGCTGCAGGGCTCATAAGGCGTGGCGGTGCCCTGGCTCTGCCTTTGCCCTGCTGAA